GGTCAGTTAATCGAGGTAATTAACAAATAAATTCATGTTTAATAATTCCTAAGTTACCAACTGTTGGATCTACGTACCTAATTAGTCAGGTGTGCAATATATCATCAACCTGGAGAATTGTCTGTTTTTGGTAGTATATTGGGGAGAAATTAACGAGGTGGTTTGGTTTCTGGCTGTTTTATTATGGCTGTATATCAAAAATTAAAAACCGACGGTTTAAAATTCATAAATTTCTATATCTGTTTATCATTTGTCTCTTATTTTCCTACATACTCTGATTAATTATTGTATCATTATTTGGGAGTGAAGATGCTGTTCTGGCTAGAGTTGAGACAGAGAAGAGGATGTCACTTATCAAAGCTTGGGAAGAGGCTGAGAAATGCAAAGTCGAGAACAAGTAATTTTTTTTGTTATTTTATTTACTCATATAACAATATCCATTAATTATAGATATATAAACCGAAATTCTAAAAACCGAATTCGAAACAAAATCGCTGGTTAAATTCTTGCAATAAGACCAAAATAGTTTCATTAATTGTTGTAAAAGATGAAGAAAATGTTTGTTTGCAGAGCTGAGAAGAAGCTTTCTTCAATTGGATCATGGGAGAACAACAAGAAAGCAGTTGTGGAAGCTGAGCTCAAGAAAATGGAGGTGTGTTTTACAGACTTATCATAATTTTATTATTTTTATTTGAAATTAATATTCTTTTTCTATTTATTGTGAAACTGGAAATGACAATAGGAGCAATTGGAGAAGAAGAAAGCACAGTATGTTGAGCTGATGAAGAACAAAATAGCTCAAATTCACAAACAGGCAGAAGAGAAGAGAGCGATGATCGAAGCTCGACGAGGTGAAGAGGTTCTCAAAGCTGAGGAATTAGCTGCCAAGTACCGCGCCACTGGAACCGCCCCGAAAAAGCTTTTCGGATTCATATGATTGAACCATCTTTATGTGGGAAAAGAATACTAATATGGTGTTGCTGTAATGGTTTTCATTTATTAGTATTAGTTTGGAAAAGAACAATAAAACTTATACGTTTTTTTTAATTTTCTTAAATGTGGGTTTTTAATTTGGAAACATAGAAAGTTATCAGATTTTATGGAAACATCTTATACTGATTGTGATTCATTGAAAGGCTTCCTCCTAGTTTTATGTATTGGTACGTCTTATATTATGTTTTGTATGAGTTCGATTTCCACTGGAACATTCTCACTCGCATTTGATCAGTGGAACTTATATCACGTTTTAGACCCATTGGAGAATTGGTTATTGCGAAAGATAGTCGTGTTTCGCCCGGTGATTTCTGGTTAACCAATGTTTTGGAAGTAAAGAGGTCTAATATGTAAACCGGGCCCATAATATGTAGCCCACGTTGACAGAGTTAATAACAAATAGGTATCTTACGGCCCGTTAAAATTTGAAGGCCCAAAGTCAGTAGAGAGAGATCTTTGGAAATTAGGGTTTTTGGTGGAGCTTCTTTGCCTCAGACTTGAGTCGCTGCCTTTTCTCTTGCTTCATTTGCCTCAAACTTTTCAGAGCAGCGACCAGTAGCCATGGCTGAACAGGTTCGTTTCTGTTGTTTTCCATGTTCCGCTTCTCTATACTACACTCTTATACTCTTCACGATTCTCATTAGTCTCTTCTTTTCTCTTGCAGACTGAGAAAGCTTTTCTTAAGCAGCCCAAGGTTTTCCTTTGGTAATTCACGAGGCTAAGAATCTTATCTTGCTACTTGTATCCTCTTCTCTCCGAATTTGTTCATTTGATTTTCTGTGTGTGTTTCAGCTCGAAGAAATCTGGGAAAGGAAAGAGACCTGGAAAAGGTGGAAACCGTTTCTGGAAGAACATTGGTTTAGGTTTCAAGACTCCTCGAGAAGCCATCGAAGGTTTGCTTTCTCGTTTCCTCCGAAATGTGCTGAATCAGTTTACCTGATTCGATAGATCTTAGCCTGTGTAGTGTCAAATGTTCGATCTGAATTGTGTAACTAATTAGGCGATTAACAGTATAATCTAGGTTCGATCTCTTCACAATTGATAACCTGATATCTCTAAGTTAGAGGATTCTGTTGCTTGCTTTGATGAGATTTGAAGTGGGAAACTATATAATATCGTAACCAAAATCATTCAGACTTGTTTGTTTTTGTGTGGAACAGGTGGTTACATTGACAAGAAATGTCCATTCACCGGAACTGTTTCTGTAAGAGGTCGTATCTTAGCTGGTACTTGCCACAGTGCTAAGATGCAGAGAACCATCATTGTCCGTAGGAACTATCTCCACTATGTCAAGAAGTATCAAAGGTTAGATTTGTGTATCTCTCTTCTTGATAAGTGCCTTAAAGATTTAACATCAATGTTTTAAAATCTTAATATCTCCTAAATGTTGTTACATCAGGTACGAGAAGAGGCATTCCAATATCCCTGCTCATGTGTCGCCGTGCTTCCGTGTCAAAGAAGGTGATCATGTCATCATCGGCCAATGCAGGTAAATTATTGGGTTTGTAGAAAAACTAAGTCTTTTATGGGTTTTTTTTGTGTGATCTAAGATCTGATTGTTTGTATTTATATTGCAGGCCGTTGTCAAAGACGGTGAGGTTCAATGTTCTGAAGGTGATTCCAGCGGGCGCATCCGCCTTTGGAAAGAAGGCATTCACCGGAGCCTAAGAGTTTTGAATGTATGGAGGTTTTTTCTCTGGTTTGATTTCGATTTTGGAATGTTTTGTTTGGTGATCCCTTTTGTTGGAGACTTGTAGACGAAATAGAAATCTACGCAATTTCGTGAACTAAAAATTTACTACATTTCAACTGTTTTGTCTTTGCTATCTCTTGAAATCAACTTTTGTTTTTGTCTACTTTGTTGGATAAGAGAGTATAAATATGGTCCCTGTTGACAACAAAATAAGAGTATAGATGGTCCCTTTAGTTGTCTTATTCCCTTTAAATTTGATAAGTGCCCTTATGTAGAAGAACAGATCAGAGAAGTTCAATCTAGAAACGAGAATGTTGGTTCCATGCGAAACTGATACATCTTTATCAATCAGTTTGCATGGAACCAATATTCTCTTGATGGAACCTAATACACACCTAACCTTGGTAAATACACATAAATCCAGATATATCAAAAGTTGGTATGGTATAATTGTGTGAGCTTAGACATGAAACAGATTAAGATGAATATGAAGTCGTGAAGTTAAAGCAAGAAACGGTTAAATAAAGAAACTGTATTCCTTCTTCCACCGTCAGTTTGTAATTGTTTGTTCCATGGTCACAATCGGAACCTATATCATTGGTTTTTCTGCAGTTGGATACAAATACTGATGCAAATAGGTGTTTGGCTACAATTAGCAAGTGGTTTTGTATTGGTGCTAAGTTGATAGGTAGCTAATGGTTGGGTCTATTAGTAAGTGTAGAGATTAGTATTGGTGTATACTTTGGAAGTAACAAACGTATACGATTCTTTTAAGATTTTATTGTAACTTTTATGATTAAACCAAGAACTATATGCACATGATCTCTTTGTTTTTGGGGGGTGTAAATGTGAAAAAAACATGGTCTTTCTTTCTTGCGAACAATTGATAAATAGAACTAAACAATAATTGAACTCTGACTAACTAAAAACAAAACAAGAACCGAACTCTAATGTACATGACTTTGCATCTTACCACATAGCTGGCTAGATTACTAGATTGATCAGGCTTTTTCTCATTTTCATCAATTATCACATCTTGCCATTTTTAAAAAAATTAATGCAAAAATGCAAATAACTGTCTTTTGATT